CCTAATAATACCGATGGCCTCCGACCTAATAATAGCGATGGCCTCCAACCTACTAGCGATGGCCTCCAACCTAATTGACATAAGTCAATTTTTTTCAAGGCTTTTTGATGTGATGTGAGTACGGCGACATGTCTAAGTCAAAATGTTCAAGCCAGTTTAAACTAACTCATGGCCTAGATACTGTACGTATGTTGACACATGTGAGTCGATGGCTTTAGTCGAGAAGCAGCAACCCCGCACAAAAATCAGAGGGGAATAAGCTCTTGATTACCTTCTCTCCTACATTGGGGCTTCCAGCAGACGATTTAGCCGCCCACAGCCGCCAGGATTGCTGGTAAAGAAAGTCTTGGCAGCCTTGGAAGTCTTCCTCATTGAAGTTCGGGCACAGAAAGGACGCCAGCCAATGCTCTTCATGAAGGCGAGGAGGCAGAAACACTAGAGAAACAGCGCATTTGTGCTCAAACCATGTTTGGCACTTGGTTCGTGAATGGTGATATATGTTGATATTTCCTTCCCTTTTGCTAGGTGGACGATGATTCGTTCGTGGCTTGGAGCCACTTGTGCCCGAAGATTGAATCTTTGGATGACCCAACAGGACTTCTCTACATGGGGATGCCGGATATGGTGAACCGTACCGATTGGTGGTTCAACAACACGGAGGCTTCGGTTGGATTCATATTCGTTTTTGCTGATCTGGTGGTTAAGGGCGCCTTTTGAGAGTTCCTGCTGTCCAATTGCAAGAATATACTGTATGCTCTTTAGTTGTCACAGAAAGCAGACCGCAGAAGTGTATAAAGCAAGGCACCCCTTGTGGTTGGTAAGCTCTGGGTGAGCCAGCTAAAGATCACAGCAAAGTTGCCACACACAGCTATGGAGCGAGTTAGTGTGCGTCCAAGTTTTGAGCCAAAGCGACGAGTCTTGTGCTCCAAACGAGTTGTGGGAAGTCGCCATTCCAAACGCCAGAGACATGAAGTGGAGGAAGCTCAGCATAAGCACACAGCCACACGCACTGGGGCGAATATGGTTGTGCGAAACAGGAAGATAAGAACCAATATGTTACTAATAGCTTCTTGTTACTACTAGTAAGGCACTTGTTACTAGTAGCGATGCACTTGTTCCTAGTAGCTTATTGTTTCTATTGGATAGAACTGTGTCAGTAAACACTGTTTCAGATTACAGGCCTACCGTGTGGAGTGCACTGGCAGCGCATGCTCAAACCATCCAGCATCCGCAACGTTGCATAGGTTCCCTTTTGTGGCTTGAGATGATGAGGCATTGTATGAATTATGTAACAATTATGCCATTGATGTGATTCAATTGCCTCGTTACCTGCCTAACCAGCCCAGGAACATGCTATAAAATGCTGTGAAATAATGTACGTTTGCCAAGGAAAGTCCGAACTATGACCCTTGGGAGAATTGGCCGTACAAGTTCTATCCCTTCCACATGGCTGGTGGGCCTGGCTATCTGATCGGAGAAGACTTGGGAGCTGCACTGTCAAAGCGATTCCTGGGTCAGCCATTGTCTTGGAATGAAGACAAAGCTATAGGCATTGGAGTCTTCAGGGCGAAGAAGAGCGGCTTGCCAGTGAGGTATGTCTATTTGCATATGGATGATGGAGAGACTGAGAGCTTGCCCTTCAGCGGAAATTGGAGTGAATATCCATTTTACTCCCAACACCAACTAACAGGCGATTCTATTCAATGCCTTCTCGAGCTTGAAAGGGCAAAAAAGATGGGTTCAGTGAACCAGTGCTACCTATTCACGCCCAGACTGCGAGACTTGCTTGGACAATGAGGATGTTGCAGTGCACTCTCACCCAGCCATGACCCATGTCAGAGTGCCCCGCCTCTTCATCGTGACTTGACTCATGAAGTGACGAACTCATAGCTTGGAGCTCCAAGAGTCAACAGATGTTAGCTTGGTGCAGACTGTGCAGACCTCTGGAGTTTGCAAACCTTGGACTTCAACAGAATCAAAACTAGAGAATACGAGCAGCACCAGGAGCTACCATGCTATGGGCTGACATGCGACTTTCTTACGTGCAGGAAGCCAGCGACAGCTGGGAGTCTAGTGTCTGCTCTTCACGACTTTGCGAACGGCCTGCCATTTGCCCCTGATGCTTTTGTCGGGTTTGCTTGTCGTTCATCCAGTGAAATTTAATTCTTCGCAAGTGTAAGCAGCAGATATTCATACATTCACACAAGACGCTAAGGAAGGCCAGGCTTGCAGAAAAAAAAGGGGCGGACGTTCTCCTAAGAAGAGCAAACAGAAACAGTGGCAACATACATTTCTTGCTTTTGATAGAATCAACAAATCGAGTTGAAATGCATACTGGAACCAAAAACACTTTTGCTCAAGTACTCGTGAAGAAACAAGGTTGCGCTCCTAGTTTGCTAGGTTAAGAGCCTTGGCATTCCTGTGGTGGCGTTAGAGGGACTTTGTGTGTCTAACGCAAGTGCTGGAGTTGTCACCATAGCGGAGGCAGGAGAGCGAGAAGTTAAACGCCACCGTGGCGAAAGGGGCGGTGCAAAACAAGAAAGCAGAGAGAGTTGAGAGACAAAGTCAACTCAGGAGAATACACTCCTAAGAGGCACTTCCCAAACACCCCGAACTACGGGTCACAGCGGTCTGCCCGAGCATCTTCCTCCAAGTCTTCTCAAGGGGGCCACACAAGCACTGCCGAAGTACAAAGGGAAGAAGACGGCGCGACTGCACCAGCTTCACAAACTCCGGTGAGCTTGACAGAGGCCATCGACCCGTGTGTTGCTTTGAGACCTAGACGGCAATCTGGTGATACGTTAAATCCTGCTAGATCTTTTCGAGCGCCATCGG